GGAGTGGGGGAGTGTTATAAATGTGTTATAACAATGTGACACCAGATGGCGCTGTAGAGTTCAGTCTTTCAGAAACACGATTTCCCATTATGAGGTTTCCAACACGCTTTCCTGAAATGTTTTTGGTTTTTTTATGTGTCTAGATCCAGTCCTTCTCTTCTCCTTCCTCCTAAGCCTTTTCACAAAGTCTCCTTCTTTCTGTCCACTTGACTTTCTTCTTTCTGCCTACCAGCCTCCCTTCTTCCCACCCAAAGCCTGCCACTGTTTCCTGCCTGTCAGGGACTGGACTGAACAGGAGGAATGGGAAATGAGCCCTCGGTCTGATCGGCTCCTCTCAGAAGAGAAGGAGGAGTGGGAATTTTCACCCTCCCCATCTCCAGCAGTTTCAGGAGCAGAGGGAGACAGGGATGATATCCAGCTGAATGAGGAAATCCCGAGTTATGAGGTAGCGGAGAATGAGGAGGGGGGAATTAGGGAGCAGGCAGCAGGGACCTCCCTGGAGAGTATGGGAGACCCTCCTATTCCAAGGGCTAGAAGGTCCCTCTGATTTCAAGAACAGAGAATGCAGAGAGAGTGGAAATGTTTTGACGAATATATGGCAAAATAGTGCTCAAAAAAAGATATGCTAATATGCCTTGATTAAAATGTGAAGTACTGGATGGAAGAAAAATTAGTAAGGAAAGATAATGAGAATATATAGATGATTTGAGAAGATTGTAGAATGCAAAGATTATTGTAAATTGTATAATGTGGAGGAAATCGAGTGGGGGCGGAGGCAAGTGGGAGGAAGGAGAAAAGAATAATATGTTGGATTGAGGAAATGTAAATGTATGAGGGGATGGGGAAGAAATGGTGTTGGCTTTGGTACATCTGTATTGTAATGTAATATGTGGAAACCAATAAAAAAGAAAAAGGGGAAGAAAACCCAGAGAATACAGAGGGATGTGACTCCTGTGACTTCCTGTAGGTTTCCAGGATGTTGTGGGAGATGGAAGAGGAGGAACTCAGAGTAGCCAACATCTCCTATGCATGGAGACATGGATCCTTTGTCTGCAACCAGACGACTGAATAAAAAGCCATACAATATGAATTGTTTGTTCTTCTTGCCTCTGAGGCTATTGGGGAAGGAGAGGATGCCTGATTCTGCTTGACCACCACCGCTTGACCGGCTCAGGTCACTCTAGATAGCCCAAGGCAATTTAGGGCTATGTACAGTTGACTCAGGGAAAGCCTGGATTTTCCCGGAATTGGCCCAATTCATTTGGAGATTTGGTCAGATCAGGCGCTCAGCCCTAGTGGAAACAAATGGTCCACTTGCCTGTGTGGTCAGCCATCCTCCCATCTTTCAAAATGAACTACTCACAGCACATAACAACTCAATCTTTTGCGGGTTTGAATTTGATTAAAAAGAGGCGATGGGCAACTTCTCAGAAATTATAGCAGCGGCGGCAGCAGCAGCAGAAAAATGCCCACTTCGGTTCACTTTCCATTCTGAAGACGGAGATTTACACAGCTTTGAAATACCATTTAAATCAGCTCGAAAATAAAAATAGCTGAGCAAAGATGCTCCTTTTATAGGCCAAATGCAGGGCATATAATTAATGATCTTGCTTCTGCTGGCACTTCACATTATTGCTTCCCATCGTGTGCTATTTATTTTGCCTCTAGAGACAAGATCAATTCATTTTGATCCACAAACATTTCAGACGGAGAAGGTTATTATAGAAGTTGAATATAATTGATAATTTCCTTTTGTATTTTGGCTGGGGAAATCATGTGGGTGGGTGTGCCAATACACATCAGAAGTGAGGAACTGGATCCGGCCACCTCCACAGTCCCACCCACTTGTCCATCACCTGCTGCCATGATTCCAGGGGATTGACACTGGGCAACTTGCAAAGGGGGTTACAGCAACCACCAATCAACTGATTGGTACTGGAAGCATGATTGTCAGTTAGAGGGAGAGCCTTCGAGGTCTCTGCAGAGGAGGAAATGCTTCATTTTAAAAAAAATTGATCTCCCTACTCAAAGAAAAAAAATGTATTTGCTTGTGTGTCTTTGGTTTTAAGTTCTCTTGTAGTATGCATGACAAAGAGTTGCAAATACCGTATTGGCCTGAATATAAGCCGCACCTGCAAATAAGCTGCACCTTTAAAATTGAGGGGGGGGGAGAAAAAAAGACAATACCTGGGCTGCTCTTTGGGGGGGGGAGAGCCACACCGCTTTGCCAGTAGCCTTCCTCCCTTCCCCTTCTTTCCGGTGGCTCAGCGGAGACTTGGGAGTTGCGAGCAGGTGGTGTGTCATTGCCTCATGCTCCTGGGCTGCTTATGGGGTTGGGGGGGAGGCAGGGAGTCGCGCCGCTTTGCCAGCAGTGTAAGGTCATAAATATAAGCTACACTTTAACTTTTCATGGTCGGAATTTGGAGGGGGGAAAAGTGTGGCTTATATTCGGGCCAATATGGTAAAACATAAAAAAGCCCATCATTCTTTAAATAGAGAACATATAAAGAGCCCTGCTGGATCAGGTGAAAGGCCAATCTAATCCAGCATCCTCAAAGTGGCTATATGTTCTCACACCACCTATATCTGTTTTTATAAATAGTGTGTGGAAGCTCTTATACCATTACATAGTTTAGCTACTGTGTAGCCTTGGGCCTAGCGGTATCTGATGGAGCCTGGTGTACCTTCTTGCAAAGAGATAACAGGGTTCCTGTTTAGCATCCTGACCAGTATGTTATAAGAAGATAAGAAGAGCCTGCTGGATTAGGCCAATGGCCTGGGCACAAAAGCAATCTCCCCTCCTGCATTTTCCAGAAAGTGGTACCCAGAAACTTTCCTGCCTCTGACTGTGGAGTCACAGCATAGCCATCATGGCTAGAAGCCCACAGGTCCTCAGAACTCTTCTCACTAACAGGATTTTCCTCCCCATGCAATTCTGTCTTGTATAGGAAAGCCTTGCCGCTGGGCTCTTGCAATTACATTTTATTTGGTAAGGTGACAAATCTAATTGTAACAGCTACTCAACTGGGCTTTATCCCAAGGTGACAATTACCATACCAGGGCAGCACTTTATGTGCATTATTTTGCAAATGCAGTCCCCCCGCTAATGCACTTGTGTACACTAACAGGCTTCAATTTTACTAATGAAGAGGAACAAGAGAGAGATGCCTGCCATCCTCACTCTTCTACACGGTGCTGATACAGATCTTGGTAATATTGGTGAGATCTAATCATAGATCAAAGCTGGAAACCAAACCACATAATAAATTATGGAGGGAGCTGGGGATGTTTAGCATGGAGAAGACTGGGGTTTGTGTGTGATTTGATACACTTCTTCAAATATCTGAAGGGATGTCACATGGAAGATGGAGCAAACCTGTTTTCTGCTGCTCCAATGGATTCATAGAATCGTAGAAGGTAAAGGTAAAGGACCCCTGGACGGTTAAGTCCAGTCAAAGGCAACTATGGGGTTGTGGCACTCAAGTTGCTTTCAGGCCGAGGGAGCCGATGTTTTTCCATAGACAGCTTTCCAGGTCATGTGGCCAGCATGACTGAATCGCTTCTGGCACAACGGGGCACCGTGACAGAAACCAGAGCAGCGCATGGAAACACCGTTTACCTTCCTGCCACAGTACCTATTTATCTACTTGCACCAGCTTGCTTTTGAACTGCTAGGTAGGCAGGAGCTGGCACAGAGCAACGGGAGCTCACTCCATTGTGGGGATTCGAACCACCGACCTTCCAATTGGCAAGCCCAAGAGACTCAGTGGTTTAGACCACAGCGCCACCCGTGTCCCTTAGAATCGTAGAACTGTAGAGTTGGAAGGGACAATGCAGGAATCTCAACACACAGCCCCCCCACTGAATTTGAAATCATACCAGATGGGCCCTACTTAGCTTTGCAAATCTGCTAGCAGTTTTATTGCTGAAAAGAAAGGAGATTCCAGTTGAACACTGGGAAGAACTTCGTGAAGGTAAGAGGTTTTTGACTGTGGACCAAATAAGAGTAGGCATGTAAGGAGCACTGTCACAGAGAGCTCATGGCTGCAGAAGCTCAACATTTTTGAGCGTCTCAGAAGCCGAATGATTCGGAACCCGAATGCCAAAAACCTGAAAGTGAATGTTTCCATTTTCAAACATGCCTTGGAAGTCGAATGGCTTCTGAACCGTGGTTCTCTATTTTCTCAATGGACTTTGACGCCCATTGCGCCTCGGTTGCCGAACGTTTCAGAAGTCAAACAGTCTTCCGGAATGGATTATGTTCAACAACCGAGGTTCTACTGTATGCCAGAAAATAAACAGTTTAGATATTGCTGTAGGGCATGTGGCAAGCTTTAAAATGGTATATAGGTTTACTTACTCTCTGACATTGCTTATTACTTCTTTATTAAACTTATTGGCAGTGTTTTTACCAAATTAATTTAAAATGACAATATATAAACAGTCATACATGAAAACCAGCATTAGAAAAATGCAAATCTAAAAGACAATCCTATTTTTAAAAAGCAGGGTTAGAACATCTCATCCATCCGAGGAGGCTACAGATAATTAAACGCCAAAGACCTAATGAAAAAAGACATGTTTTTGCCTGGCATATAGAGAAGCAAAATAAACTGTTATGTGAATGCAACCTTAGGGCTATGTAGGATTCCACCCCTAATATATATCACTTGAGATCATCTCAGGGGTTTCCCCCTAGACACCTATGAAGACAAACAGCACCACAAGGAAGTTAGCACAGACGAGCCTGAATAACTCCACTCAAAATCTTCATTGCCCTTTTCAGAAAATTCCCCAGTATTTGTTTTAGAGTTGCCTGCTGCATTCAGGAGCCTACAGCCCCTCACTGCCGAAAAACAGCTCTCACTATTAACATCCGTCCACTAGAATGTTCTTCAACATGTAACAAAAACACATTTGGAAATGGGGATCAGGAAAAGAAAGATAACTTCTCAGAAATGCTCACATCTGCTCACTTTGAGCACAACTTTGCCACCAACCTGCCAGAATATGCTGTCAATTGTATTCCCCAGAAAACCATCCCGTCCTTCTGATGACACCAGTTTTGGTCCGAGGATTGTCATGAATTCATCAAAATCAACTTGACCATCCCCTGGAAAGAAAGGCAGACAACAACAAGTTTTTATTAACATTACCATGCTAAGAGATTTTATTAATTTGTGGCTCAAATTTATAACACATCTTTTTGCAAATTGCAACCAAGGGAGCTAAGATCCTACCCACACCATACTTAGAAGCATAGAATTGTAGAGTAGGAAGTGACCACAAAGGTCACCCCCCCCCCCGAAATGAAGGAATCGTTTGTCCAACACGGGGCTCAAACCCACGACCCTGAGACTAAGAGTTTCATGCTCAACCAACTGAGCTTTCCCAGCTTGTTCCAAAGCAGATGGCTCCTACACAAAGACTTCTGGGAACTGTACTTGTTTTAAGAGTGTTGGGAATAGTAGCTCTATTGGGACAAACTGCTGTTATCTGGGGGAAAGTAATGGTGCAGATATGAACTAAGAACAGGGGGAAAGAATTAGTAAGAAAATGATGGCAGGAGAAACATATGAGGTCTGGTGGTGGTTTGCTTCCCTAGTAGCTTCTTTGCATCTGTCACTAGGAGCCAAGATCGTCACAGATATCAGCCACATGAGAACATCAAAAGAGCCTGCTGGATCAGGCCAATGGCCTACCTAATCCAGCATCCTGTTTTCACAGTGGCCATCCAGAAGTCAGTGGGAAACCAGTAAGTTGGATTCCAACACAAGAAGACTCTCCCCTCCTGTGGCTTCCAGCAACTGGTATTCAGAAGCCCTGCTGCCTCCAGCTGTGGTAGTAGAGCATTGATAGTCATCTCATCCATGTATTGGTCTAATCTTCTTTTAAAGCCATCCAGGGTGGTGGCCATCATTGTCACTTGTGGAAGCAAGTTCTCCAGTTCACCTATGGCCACAGCTGAAGACATACCCAGACACTCTGGGCAGCTTCCAACATATATAAAAGCATTAAATATTTTTTAAAAACTTCCCTATTCAGTTGTACCTCGGGTTAAGAACTTAATTCATTCTGGAGGTCCGTTCATAACCTGAAACTGTTCTTAACCTGTTCCTAACCTGAGGTACCACTTTAGCTAATGGGGCCTCCTGCTGCCTCCATGCGATTTCTGTTCTCATCCTGAAGCAAAGTTCTTAACCCAAAGAACTATTTCTGGGTTAGCGGAGTCCGTAACCTGAAGCGTCTGTAACCTGAAGCACCTTACCCCAAGGTACCACTGTACAGGGCTGTTGTCAGGTGGCTGTAAGCATCTCTCACAGCTGGTTGCCAGGAACGTATACAGACAAGGGAAAGTTTCTTACCATATGCTTTTTTTAATTCAATATTTACAGAGGGAGGCTTGGAACCCAGCCTCTTGGATAATGGCGTTGTCCCAAATGACTCTCCACCCCCTCCTTTTCCCCACTTCCTCATTCGTCATTGTCATCACCTCCCCTATGGGTGCTGTAGAGTCCTTCGTCTCCGAGCCCTTTGCTCTGCTACTTTCAAGGCTCACCAGGTTCTGGAAGGGGGGGGTCTGGAATGTTTTCTAAAGACACTGTGTCCTTCAGCTGTCGTCCTCCTGGTGCTTCCTCTACCTCCTCCTCTCCCATTATTTCCCAGCTTTCCCCCTCATCTGCCTCTGAGCTGTGACCTCCCTCAAACCCCTGTTGTAATTCTGAACTGTCTTCCTCTTCTCTGGAAGGGTCAGGTTGGGGAAGCAGTCTCCACCATTCCTCTTCTGCTGACAGCTGCCTTCAAGTTTGCGTATTTTTCAGTGTATAAGATGCCCCCATGTATAAGACGACCCCTATTTTTTTTGGACCCAAAATTAAAGAAATCAATATTTATTGAGTTGTTGAGTTTTTGGGGGAAGAGATCACCCTTGAGTTTCTTTTGGGGGGGAGGTTACCACCGCCAATTGCTCACCTGCCCGTCTGCTTGCCACTGCCAATCGCCCAACTGCATAACTGCCCCCCTCTGCATTCACTGACAACCCCCCAATTTTTGCCTAATTTTTTTAAAGAAAAAACATCTTATACATGGAATGTCTTATACGCGGGAAAATATGGTATTTATCTCCTTGGCTAGGTGGTCACATACCCTTCAATATTTATCTGATAAAAATAGGAATGTTCTAAGGAAAAGTGGGACATTCTGGGATCAAATCAGAAACCAGGATGGCATCTGTAAATCCAGGACTGTCTCTAGAAAATAGGGACACTTGGAGGGTTTGCTGAAGAAGGCCCACTATGTGAGAAGCCAACATTGGATTTCTACAACTGCTGTTCCCTTAGAGGCCTGCCTTGGCCCCCAGATTCAGAAGTGGAGTTAGCATATGGAACACCTAAGGGGGGAGGGACTTGCAGATGCTTTTGCTCCATTCATTACACTCTCATCTATTTTGTTGCATCCGAAATTGAAATATATTGCAAGCTGCTCCAAGAACGTCAGTTCGTAGATACAGTAAATTAATGATAAATCATCATATAAAACCCAAACACAATATATACAAATTAAAAGCAGACAGCAGGTAAAGCTAATCAGGAAAAAAAATATCAATAAAGCAATGCAGCAATAAATCAACAGCCAGTTAAAAATGTATTTAAACTAAGAAGTGGCGAAAACTCATCGGACTACAGTGGTACCTCGGGTTACAGACGCTTCAGGCTACAGACTCCGCTAACCCAGAAATAGTACCTCGGGTTAAGAACTTTGCTTCAGGGTGAGAACAGAAATTACACAGCGGCGGCAGCGGGAGGCCCCATTAGCTAAAGTGGTACCTCAGGTTAAGAACAGTTTCAGGTTGAGAACAGACCTACAGAATGAATTAAGTTCTTAACCCAAAGTACCACTGTACTGGGATAGCTCACTTGGTAGAGCATGAGACTCTTGATCTCAGGGTCGCTGGTTTGAGCCCCACATTGGGTGAAAGATTTCTGCATTATAGGGGGTTGGCCTGGATGGCAGTAGTGGCCCCTTCCAACTCTACAATTCCATGATTCTATTATTCTAATCCAGTAAAAGGGCCACATCCACACCATATATTTAAAGCACTCTTGTACCACCACAATGATCATAGCTTCCTCCAAACAATCATGGGAACAGTAGATTCCCGCCCCCCGCCCCTAGTCCCCTCACAGAGCTACAGTTCCCAGAGTGGTTTAAAAATTGTAGCTCTTAACAACCCATGTGTCAGGGAACTGACATCGGAGCTAGAGGCGAAGAGAAGGCTCTCAGATAATGCTGGAGAAGGGCCAAGCAGGGAGAGAGGCAGCTCAGTAGAGGGGGAAGCAAATCAGCGCAACACCAGGGATAAAGGGGGGCAGATGGGGGAATCGGTGAGAGGGCTCCAGGACTCTTCACTGGACACCAGCGGGGAGAGCACAGGTCCTCCGCTATCCACGCCCTCCCTGCGCAGAAGACTTCCGCGCAGTGAGAGTAGGAGGAGATTGGGCGTCAAACAACTTTTATGTTGGAAGAGCTTTAAGAAACGCCCACTGACGGATTCTGCTAGCGACTGAGGCAGCCACGATGAGAAGGGCTGTCCAGTCAGAAAGGTTTAACAAAGCAATTTAGCCTGGAGAGGCGGCAGCTTACACATGAGCAACCCCATACGCATTACACCATGGAAAAACACAGAGATAAAAAAATTGTGCTCCAAATAATGACAGAGGTTTGAGATGGAGGAACACTGAAGGGGAAACCACATAGGATTGCCATATGTCCTCTTTTTCCAGGACATGTCCTCTCTTTTATGGATAGTCATAGCGATCCATAGTGAAAAGCAGAAGTTGGCAAAAAGCTGATGTAACAGAACATGTCCCAACTCCCTTCTCAGTATACAAAACTTTTTTTTTAAACTGACACCTTCTAGTGTCCCCCACCTCACCCCATCCTTCCACACCTGCTTTATTTAAGCTTGTATCAAACTGCAATGTGTGGGAGCAGGAAAATGCAAGAGGTTATAATGGTTTGTCTGCAGAGGGGTAGTCTAAAGAAAGAAGGGGAAATCATGGGCATGGGAGTGAAGGTGAAAAGGGGTTCAAAGGATGGTTGCAGAATGGAAGAGCAAAATTATATCGGAAATGGGATTGGGAAATTCAATAGTGAGGTAAGTAGTTGCATGGAGTGGGAACGGGAAGGATCAATGCATTAATCCAAAGGAATTGATGTGGGTGGGTGAGAACAGCAAGGACTTGGCAAGCAGAGTGGGGCAGCCCCTGCTCTGCTATAGCTGCAAAACTAATATCAGTTGAGATCAACTGTTTAAATAACCATCTCAATATGTTTCCACAGAGAGAGAGAAGATAGCATTATATACAGTGGTACCTCGGGTTAAGTACTTAATTCGTTCCAGAGGTCCGTACTTAACCTGAAACGGTTCTTAACCTGAAGCACCACTTTAGCTAATGGGGCCTCCTGCTGCCGCCGCACCGCCGGAGCACGATTTCTGTTCTCAACCTGAAGCAAGGTTCTTAACCTGAAGCACTATTTCTGGGTTTGCGGAGTCTGTAACCTGAAGCGTATGTAATCTGAAGCATATGTAACCCAAGGTACCACTGTACTTGCAAAAGAGTTCATTTTCAACTAATTTTTGCTTTTCACCCTAATTTTTCACCCCAATTTTTAGCTTCCACCATACACTTGTGGAAGGTAAATTAATAAAATCAACCAGCAATGCCAACTTTTGCCAGTGCAAACCCCTCTCTACATGTTGGTTCTGTGTGGTCAGCGACAGATCAAAATGCCACGAGGAGCAGCAGGGCATTAAGGAGTTTGGACCACACACAACCCGTAAACCGTAAGCAATTTAATATGCCACAAAATCGTGTAACAGGCGGCAAAGGTTGCAAATGAGCTCTGCAGCTGTTTTCAGTGTTTCCAGCTATTACATAACACGTCGTTACGGGGGTTATTGTTGCTGAAGGAAAGCAAAATCACAGTCTTGTCCAAACTAGGTTCCGACAGAAGGAAACAATGTGTCACAGAGTAAAGTGATATGGAGTGTATAATATGTACATAATTGGGATAGTTCTAAATTCCAAAGAGGGCATCAGCTGAGTGTTA